TTCACCCTATTTGCCTCAGTTCCTCATCTCTAAAATGGGCTGGAGAAGGAAATAGCAAACCACTCTAGTATCTTTGCCAAGAAAACCCCAAATGGGGTCATGAAGAGTCAGACATGACTAAATAACAAGAGCATTATACACACAGTAACTCGTTTGTTCCTCACAACAGCAAAACCCTTTTGGTTATCCTTAGTAATCATAGCCAGCCTTAGGTGGTCCTTAAGTTTTAACATCCCTGACACTACTCCAGTATTATAGCATACTTTTATATTCTTCTTCCATTAGCTGTCTATCTTCTCCATTTGTCATGTTAAATTCTCAGTTGGTCAATGAATCCCTCTGCAAACACATTCATCAAAACTTTTTCTCTGCATCTCCTAAGAGCTAAAATGTTTTTAAAAAAGAAAGTCACGAGCAGACCCTCTTCTCGGGCAGGTTGCACATAGTTTTATTTGGGGGGTTAATATTTCAATTCAACAAATATTTATTAATTAATTGTCTGTAATGTGTGTATCCATGTGAGAGATAGCATGGCATGCTAGATTTGACTAGAGTTGGCTTTGGATAATAATAACATTGTTTGTAAGGTTTGCAAAATACTTTACGTAAGTCACATCTTTGATCATCACAATAACTGTTAAATAGGGGCTATTATTATCTCCATTTTACAGATGAGGAAACTGAGGCTGAGAGATATAGAGTAACTTGTCCAAAGTCATAAAACTAGTAAGTGTCTGAGGGAGAATTGGAACTAGGGTTGTCCTAATTCCATCTAACACTCTTCTGTCCACTATACTACTTAGCTGCCACCCAGAGCTAGGAAGATACCAGTTCTAATCCTACTTCTGACTTATATACTATGCCTAGGCAAGAGGCAAAGGAAACTCTACCATGGCTGGTGAATGCAAACTGTGCAACCAGTAGCCTTAGAGAGTGGGCTTTAGCACTGACAGTGAACTCCCTCAACAGGGAATTCCTTCTATCACTGAAATGATGGCTCTAGTCCCAACCCCTATCCCTGTTATTGTTAGGTACTACCAGGGAAATGAAGATGAGTAAGTTGTATTACTGAGCCAGAAGAATTTTATAACATATACCTTGGGGCTGAGGAAGGTACGACAAATATGCAAATGTGGTTTTTGTTTTGTTTTGTATTGTCTAGATCTGTGATTGCACTGTGGAAACATTCTCCCCCAAAGCAGACGGACAGCTTGCTCATGACTTACCATCCTAGAGACTTATCCAATGTCACTGACGTGGAGACACATATCCAGAGGGGCATAGCAGGACTTAAACCCAGTTTTTCATTATTCCAAAACAAGCCCCTTATCTCCTATGCCATGTTGCCTCTCACTGGAGTAAGCGTGTATCAGAAAAATACTAACGGTATCAAGAGAGGATTAAGTGGGTCAGGTGGGAGAGATCACATCCAGGTGGCAGCATCCACGTCTGGCTCCTTAGGGGAAGAGTTGAGCTGCTCTTCGAAATATGGGGAGAGTTTCAACTATCAGAGATGCCCAGAATTGGCATTCCAGACACATAGTCACAAGAGGCAGAGAAATGAAGGGCTTTTTCACAGAACAGCGAGTAGTTCGTTTTGAGTAAAGTACCAAATATATCGAGGGGATCGTTGGGAGATAAAGCCAAGCAGACTAGTGAGGTCCATATTGTAGAGTACTTGAATGATAGGCCAAGGAGTGGGAACTTTATTCTTATAGGAAATGTGGATCCATTGAAGTGTTGTTTTTTGTTTGCTTGTTTTAGCAGGGAAATTACATGATCCAATGAATTTTCCATGACCATTCTTGAAAGATTGAAAGAGAAAAGAGATTAGAGGTAGGAAGACTGGACAGGCCATGATAGTAATCTAAGTAAAAGGTAATGGGGTTGCAGTTAGGTGGAGCAGTAGATAGAGCTCTGGCCTTGCACTCAGGAGGACCTGAGTTCAAATCCAGCCTCAGCCACTTGACAGTTACTAGCTGTGTGACCCTGGGCAAGTCACTTAACTCCAATGACCTCACCAAAAAGAAAAAAGAAAAAAAAAAGACAATAGGGACCTGAGTTATAATAGAGGCAATGGAAACAGAAAGGTACAGATGAATGTGAGACATTGCAGAGGTAGAATCAGGAGGACTTGGCTACTGTTTGGAAGTCAAGGACAAGAGAGAATAACAAATCAAAGATGACCTCCAAATTTTGAGCATGGATGACTTGGAGAATAGTGGCCTCTTTAATGGAAATAATGAAGCCAAGAGGAAGGGCTAATTACAAGGTAGGAGGGAGAAGGGTTGGAAATGATATAAGTGTAAGTTTGGGGCACGTTGAGTTTGCAGTTCCAGCATTACATCTAGACAAGGGCCTATTGTTAAATTTTTGGTGAAATCATTTACACTTTAAAAATCAGTAAACACTATACATCAGGGCTTGATTTGTTGTCTCATTGATTGTGTAGACTTAAGAGCATGATGGAGTAAAACTTAATAATGCAGAATAAAGTAAAAAATGTTTCCTACTTATTTTTTTTCCCCAGAAAACCACAGAACATTCTGACATTTAGGTAAAGATAGTAATAATAATGATGATTTTTTTTTAAAATGTACTTAGCAACGTGCTAAGCACTGAGAATAGAAAAATCAAGACAATTCCTACTCTCAAGGATCTCACGTTGTAATACGGGAACAGAACACATACAGAAGGTTCAAAAACAAGTTGGATGGAAGCATCCAGTGGTCCTTAGGGTGGAGCAGCAAGACAGATGGCAGTGCATCTTCTTTAGTGTTATTGCCACATCTGTTTGTGATGTTTAGCTATTTGACAGTAACAAGGATTTTGATGGTGATCAGTTTCTTTTCTGGGTCTTCAGTAATTGGGATAGTTGCCAAGGGGCAATGTCTTGCTTCCATGGATATTGACTGTGGAGGCTGAGTTGAAAATAGGGCTAATGGTCTGGGCAGCAGGGGTGCAGTAAGGTGGAGCAGGAGGGAAGAGGGTGCCACGGCCATTTCCAGGACTCTTGCTATCTCCCATTCCTGTAACGCATACTTTCCTTACCTCTGTCATAGAATCCCTCTCTTCTTTTAAGATGTAGCCTTGCCCAACTCTCCAAACCCCTAATGCCCTCCATCCCCAAAAGCCTTGTTTTAATTATTTTGTATAAATTAGTATTTATTAGTTTGTTATTTATGTTCTATATATTTTTATATGTACTCATTTTCTCCCCCATAAGAATATAAAGTCCTTGCAATGAGGGATTGTTTTATTCTTTGTACTTACATCCCCAGTACCTACGTAGTACATAGCAGACAGCAGTTGCTTGATGAATACGTGTTGATTGATCAGTTGAAAAGTCCTAGGCTGTTGCCACTGAGGTGGGAGGGGAGTTGGTGGTTAAGATGGTGGTAGTGATTTGGCCCACCTGGCAATGCTACCCCTGATTCCACCTCAGGGTAATTTGATTCTTCATCTAGTATGGCTTGTGGAAGTCGGTATTGGTGGGGGCAGGGTTGGTGGCAGGCCCCTATCCCACAGGGGTTGCTCCCCCAGAAGATGACTACAGGCCTATGGTCTAGAGAGTTGTGTTATTCCCAGGTCTCTGGGGCTTAGCTCCCTGTTGGTTAGCAGTGGGGATTGGTGGTGTCAGGGATGGTCCTCGTGCCAGTGACTAATTTTTCATTTATGTTTATGGAGATAAAATAATAATAACTGACATTGATAATGGACCTTGAAAATTTACAAAGTATTGCATTATTTTATGAGTTCCACAACAATCCTTTTAGGTAGGTGTTGTAACTATTATGATATGTTCTCATGTTAGAGGTGAGAAAATCTGGGCTCAGAGTTTGTCACTTGCCCATGGTAACAAAGCATGTATACAAAGCAACAGAGATGAGATTCAGACTGGGTCTTCCTGACTCCAAGTCTAGTACTCTCTCTACTATTCCACACTTGGAAATACAGGACTAGAGTTCAATAAGGAAGTCAGAACTAACAAATAGAAGTCATTTGTAGAGAGCTGGAGTGAATAAGGACTCTTGGAGAAGAGATTGTAGAGAGAGATCAAAGCAAAGTCTGAAACCCTTGAGCAATGCCTTCATGGGGTATGGAGAATAGGATGAGAATGAAAAGATGGTAAAGGTGATAGAGACAAAGAAGGATTGGCCAGAGGGATAGGAGAAGAACGAGAATGAGGCATGACACGAAAGCCACCCAGCCCCAGTGTCAAGAAAGGGCCCAGTCAGCACTTTATGTTGCTTATGAGAGCAGTCACTGGACTAGTGAGGTTCCAGGGCCTGGAAATGAGGTCATTGCCCTGGAAATGTTTGACCCTGATTAACTTACTCAGCCTGAATCTCGTTCTCCATCTTTAAAATTGAGAGCTTTACTAGAAAAGTGTTAAGGTCCCTTCCAGCTCTAATGTCCTGTGACTGTATGATGAACACTTTCCCTAAATAAATAAAATGGAAAACAAATTGGAATACCCAAGAAGTGGGACAGTAGACACCAGATGCACTCCAAGACTATAACTACCTAAGGCAATTAAAATGAAGAGTTAAGACGACTGTGTGGACAATCAAGCAAAACCCCCTGCTATTACAAAGAAGTGGATGATTGGGATGGCCTTATTATCCAAATTAGCTCACCTCACAGCCCAGATTAGCCCAGTAATTGCTCATCTTCCCACTTGATTTTGCTTCTGTGGGTGTCCGCTGGATTTGGAATCACTGAGGGCCAGCGCCTTCTTGTCTCATACTCTGCTTTAGGGCACATAAGCTAACAGGACTCAAATTTCTGTGGAGTGTTTATTAGATGCTACCTTTAGTCTTTCCCTCCATGTGGCCATTCTTCATAGGTACCATTTCCTCCTCTCTCCCTGCTATTTGCCCTTTTCATTCCCTTTGTGATTTCATGGCAGCTGGCCCCGGTTTATTTAAGAACATTGTGAATAACCAGCCTGGAGGTCTGTGTCTTAATGACTAATAAGCAGCTTTTACCTTTTTCAGCGTCGTCTGGGAGATGCTGCAAAGAAAGCCATCAGCAAGCTCCAGGTCAGGACCATCAAGAAGGGTGACAAGGTAAATTCCCCAGCTGTCATTTTCAGGGTAGACCTGTGCTAAAGTCACTTCTTGGCTCTGCTCAAGAAGAGCAGGGGGAAAATGAATAGCCATGCAAGCATCCACAAGACCAGCATGTAACAAAGATGATTTATAGTAGGCACAGTGGTTTCATTATAAAAACACTGGCAATGAGCAGGACTTAAGGGCTCTGGGGGTAAATGTTGGAGGATGGAAGGAGCACATATATGATAAATTGCCAATTCAGAAAACCAGCCCAGGCCCCACTGAGAGGTTTGCCCCTCTCTTTGAAGATCCGTTGTAGAATGGAGTCAATGGCCCACAGTAACTTGACTTAATATATAATTCAGGTATCTACAAAAGAAGATTAACTAAGTGAAGGAAACAGGTTGATCTATTCTCTCTTTGCTGTAGGAAACCGAGCCTGACTTTGATAACTGCGCAGTCTGTATTGAAGGCTACAAACCGAATGACATTGTACGGATCTTGCCCTGCCGGTAAGTCAGCCAGGTTGCCTGATAGAAGTAGCTGGGTTTTCCTGCTTTGTGCTCAGATGTGGGCCTTAGGTATGCCGTGACACACATAACGGATGATATAATGGACTTGGAGACAGGAAGACTTAAATTGAAATCCTGGCTTTTTTGCTTACTAACTGTATATCCATGGTCAAGTTGCTTATTCTTTCTCACCCTCAATTTCCTCATCTGTATAATGGGGGGGTCCCAATGGCTTCTCAGGCCCCTTCCAGCTCACGATCAATGATCCTATGACCCTACAGTTATAAGCTCAATGATGGCATAGACTGAGTCTTATCTGAACTTCAAACTTCCTCCAGAGCCTAGCACAGTGCTAAGATGCAGAGCCTATGTTTTTTAACCAATAAAGCAATTTATTAATGAATCTAATGTGGTTTGTCCTACTATTTCTTGCTGGCAGCTGCCACCTGTCTGGCAATTCTTTTAGGTCTCTCTGTGTGTCTGAGGTATCAGCTTCTGGTCCCCATCCTGGTCTTTCTCCATCATCCTGAGGTCCTCCAGGTCTTATAGGACCCTTTGGGTCACACTCTTGGAGCCTCTGCTGAAGTGACTGGACGTGACCTCATTGTACTGGTGTCCACTGTATATCTCAGTCGTGAATCTCATACTTGCACCATCTCAGAGGTACAGGTAATAGGCCATGGAGGAAGCCTGTGTGTACAACCAGTTCTCATCATAGGTCACCAACTTCATGTGTTTAACTGATTTGACTATGCCTACTCATTAGGAAATTTTCAGCTTCCCTGACTTTTTTTTTTGAGGTATTCGCCAGTAAGTGACTTGCCTAGAGTCAAACAGCTAGTAATTATTTGAGGTCAGATTTGGACTCGAGTCCTTCTGATTCCAGGGCCAGTATTCTACCCACTGTGCAGTCTAGCTGCCCCCATTTCCTAGCTTTCTGAGAAAGACAGCCAGGGCCCAGACAAATCCTGCTGGTTTGCATCCTTCACTGTGACTCCAGGCATTGTGGGGGTTCCAGTCTGCCAGCCAGGGAAAAAGGAGCCTAGAGTCTTAATAAGCATTCGTTGAGTTGAATTACAATTGGCTATCACACTGGCAGAGTAGTGAGAAGGCTACCTGTGGAGTCAGGCAAACCTGGGGTCAAGGTCCCTTTCTGACATATACTAGCTCTGTGATCATGAACAAATCACTTCATCTCTTAGAACCCATGTCGCTCCCTAATACTAAAAGCTACAAGGAAGACATCAATGGAGGGAACTTCTACCAGGGGTGGGGAACCTGTAGCCCCCTTAAGGATTTGTTCTGTGAAGTCTGGATTCAGTCAAAGGGCCATGCTTGAGCTTCAGGTTCCCCACCCTTGTCAAGCATTCCCTCACACACCATGAAATCACAGTACTGGACCAAAGAAAAGAAAATCTCATTGTCTCAGGTTGGTCCAGCCCAATCCTGCATTCTCAGTCCTTTATATAGTTTTTGTTTCTGTTTAAACTGTGCTGCATTTTTAAAATACCATTCTCATTTTCTATGATCTTGGGAGAGGAACATACCATTCCCCATAAGAATATTACTGTGATTCATGTTTTCAGTAAATTCAGAGTCCAGAATAAGGCAGGAAGGTCATGAGGCTGTACTCTCTGTATTGGTCAGATCACGTATTGGACATACTGTGTCCAATTCTAGCTGCTATACTTACAAATCTGCAACGTGTCCAGAGCAGGATGGCTAGAATGATGAGTGGCCATGAAAACATACCGTGAAAATTAGCTGAAGAAACTGGTGATATGTAGCTGGAATAATAGAAGACACAGAGAGATGTTAATTACTGCTTTTAAATATTTACAAGGCTATCATGGAAAAGAGAAATTAAACATTCTCATTAGCTCCAAAGGGCAGAATTAAGATTTATATCCTAATTGTGAAAGTTAGATGAAGGCAGATTTGCTTTGATAGAAGGAAAAAACTTCCCAGTGATTAGGGATGCCTGAAAAATGGAATTTAAGATGGCAGGTTCTCAAACACTAAGAATATTCAAGTCATGGCCAAGCACAGGTTCATAGACTAGAGCTAAAGTCATCTAGACCAGCCTCTTTTAGGGAAGCTAAGTGGTGCAGTGGATAGAGCACCAGCCCTGGAGTTGGAAGGATCTGAGTTCTAATCCAACCTTAGATACTTACTAGCTGTGTGCCCCTGGGCAAGTCACTTAACTCGGACTGCCTCAACAACAACAAAAAAAAAAAAAAAGAAAGAAAAAGAAAAAGAAGAGAAGAGCAGCCTCTTCTTTTATAGCAGAGGAAGCTGAGGCCCAAGAAGCGTAAATGTTTTTCTCAGGGTAACACAGGAAGTAACAGGGACCATATTTGAACCCAGTTCCCCTGGCTCTAGACAGAGATAATGCTATTTTTTACTATACCATGCACCACTGGTCAAGGACCTCACAAGGAGTAGGGAGTTGACTTAGTTGACCTCTAAATTTTCTTCCAACACTGAAATTCCAACCTCCTACAGTTGTATGATTAGCCAGCCATTGTCAGAGAGAGAGAGAGAGAGAGAGAGAGAGAGAGAGAGAGAGAGAGAGAGAGAGAGAGAGAGAGAGAGAGAGAGACAGAGAGAGACAGAGAGAGAGAGAGAGAGACAGAGAGAGAGAGAGACAGAGAGAGAGAGAGAGAGAGAGAGAGAGACCACTGCCTCAGTACCTGGTGACAGATATAGCTAAAGAAAGACTGGTTTTCTCTAACTCCAAAATCATGGTGTTCAAAGTCAGAGCCTGTCTTTGGCAAACTCTTTTGTAGCCAAAATAATAAAACATTAATAATTTTGTAAGAAAAGAATGACTAAAAGGTCAGAAGGAGGCCAAGAGTATTTACAAAGCTGATGGTATTTCCTCTTCCTCTCTTCTGTGATAGTAGCACATCTCCCCCATTAAAAGGCATATGGGAACATTTTCAGATATGGCCAATGTGGGAATTTGTCCTGCTTAACTCTGTGTGTGTATGTGTGTGTGTGTGTGTTTGTATGTGTGTGTATGCACACACACATACACACACATACACATATATACATATATATTTTACAAAGGTTTTTTAATTGTTGTTTTTCAGTTGGAGATGAATGGCAAAAGGTGTGAGGGTATGACTAAGGTTGGGATAGGAAGAAAAGAAGTGAGGGAAGGAAGATAGAGATTCACAGTTCCATGTCTTTCATTTCCCTCCTTTTTAAATTCTGCTACATAAATGGAAATGCTCATTTTAGTTAGTGTTTGCATAGTTCAGAATAAAAATAAGCCTTAAAAGAAAGAAATATACAGGATATGTATATAAAAAGAAGGCATCCTTTACAATATTTGGATTGAGAGAAGAAGGGAAAAGAGGAGGTGGAATATATAAGAGGTAAAGGAAATCCACTCAGATTAAGAAGTAGAAGCTTTATGACTTCAGAAAAACCTGGAAAGACTCATATGGTCTGACGCTGAGTGAAGTGAGCAGAACCAAGAGAACACTGTACACAGTAACAGCCACGTTGTGCTGTCACTAATATTGATAGACTTACCCCTTCTCAACAATACAATACTAAGACATCTCCAAAGGCTTCGCGATGGAAAATGCTATCCACATCCAAAGAAAGAACTATGGAGTTTGAATGCAGATTGAAGCATACTATTTGCTGTTTTTTTTTCTTCTGTTGTGTTTTGTTTCCTCTTTCTGGCGATTCCTGCTATTCTAGTTCTTCCTTACAACACCACTAATGTGAAAATATGTTTCATAGGAATGTATATGTATAGCCTATATCAGATTGTGCACCATCTTGGGTAGGGAGGTGGGGAAGGTGGAGGAGAAAAATTTAAAACAAAAACTTATGGAAGTAATTGTTGATAATTCAAAATAAATTAATTTTTAAAAAAGTAGAGGCTTTAGAAACTCTTCTTCTCCAACTATAACATACAGCAGCAGTGTGATAGTCTAGTGCAGGGTGGGGAAACTGCAGCCTCGAGGCCATATGTGGCCCTCTGGGTCCTCAAGTGCAACCCTTTGACTGAAGTCCCACGTGGCCTCAAGATCACAGGTTCCCCACCCCGGTCTAGTGGGATAGAAGACGTAGGTTCAAGTCCTCATTCTGGCACTTGCCGTACTTTGGATATGGACTCAACACACCTAGGTTACGATTTAGGCTCTGCCGCTTACTGCCCGTCTGTCTTGCTTTCTTGACATCAGTTTGCTCTACCATGAAATGAATGGCAAGAAAATAGGATGCAGCAGCAGTGTGCTTGTCTCTGGGATCAGGGGACCTAGATTGACATCCTGTGTCTTTTGTTTACAACCTGTGTGATCTTCAAAAAGTCATTTAAACTCTCTGGACCTCTGTTTTCTCATCTGTAAAATAGAAGGATTGAACTAGATGGCCTCTACCATCCATTTACGGTCCAAAGGCTAAACGCCCATTAAGGTCCCCTCCAGCTCTGAATCTATGATTCTGTAGGCTTATGAGGTAATATCTCTGAGCCTGTTTGTCATCTGTAAACTAGGTATAATAAAGTTGACACTGCCTGCCTCGTAGAACTGTTGGAACAAAGTGCTTAATAAGCATTAAAGCATGATGTAAGTGTCAATTATTATTATTAGTGAATTGTGTAGGCAATGAAAAAAACTTTCGATACAATTTGATTATTTGTTCAGTGTCTCTGATGACTCTTTTTCCCAGTGTGGTAAAAAGACAGGGTTGAATCTAAACTCTGTTATCATGCGGGTAATAATCAGGGTCACCCTGGACAGGTCTCTTCCCTTCTCTGGGCCTCAGTTTCCATTTCTGTAAGATAAAGGAGTGAGACTAGCTGATCTCTAAGGTCTCAAAGCTCTAAAGTGGCTCAGAACAAATCACCTGCCTAGGTTTGGGGCTGCCAGATTCTATTCAGGACTGTGTTTTGCAGTGAGACACATAAAGACCCAGCAAATTCCTCTAGTACAGCTACTGTATGTAACTGCTTTTCCTCATTCTTCCATGGAAAG